GTGATTCAATTAATAAGTGTAGTCCCGTCCCCCCGCGGAGTCGGATCCTCTTCCTGTGCCCCTCAATCACCCGGGCACAACATTATATTATTTAATATATAAAGTTTAAGTTCAAATACGTCTCTTGAACAAAGGCTATTTAAAGTTGCTATAAATACTTTGAGGCTTTTGATTTTTTGATTGATCAATTAGTAAAGTTCTAATTGATTAGTCAAACGTTTCAAAGTATTTGTAGCATGCCAAATGGATCGCACCTTTCTCCTCATTACAAAGACTTGTAAAGAAGGAAAAATAAATGAAAATTAAGGATGGTCCATATTTTGGTAACGCACGTCACATCGGCTGGTGCTTAGAAATTTTCCAGTGTACTACTAATTAAAAAATTTTATATTAAATTAGCCATGTTGTGGGCTATCAGATCGAGAGGGATCTTAATAAAATTTTTAATAGATAAAAAAAGAAAATAGAATAAAAAGGAAATATAAAGGCAAGGAAATAATATGCTTACGATTACATACATACGCAGTCATTAAGCAGTTATTAATTCTTTAATTAGAATATAATGTATTTAAAAACAACGCATTATTGTACATTATATGTACTCCAAATTGTACACAATATGTATGTATAACAAATTATTATTTAAGAATGCGCAGTATAAAAATTAATTACACAATATACTAATTATTTCATTCTCCTTTGCTTCAGCAGATGATTTTTAAGAGCTATTTGTTTCTCTCTGAAAGATCGTTTTACCTTTGTCCTTAATTTCTGCTTCAGCATTGAGAATGCTTTTCCTTTCCTCTTCTCACGATTTGTTGTACTGCATAACGGATTTTGTCGCCGATCCTTAAAACCGAATTTGTCTCGTTCTTGTTGCCCCTTCTGTAAATTCAATGATACCTCTGAGCTATTTTATTCTCTATCAGATTAAAATATATAACATTTACACGTACCTTCACAGATTTCTGTCGGGCAGCCTTATCATGCTTGCGTTTCTTGTATATGTTTTCTATATCGCTAAGTTTCACCAATTCACCACCTTGGTCCGCCTCTACTTGATCGCGCGTCCTCTTAGCGCCGCGCTTAACGTACGTTACGTCTTGCTTCGCTAGTGCGACATCAATTTTTCTGAAATCTTTGTCAGTGAGCAATCGTTCAGCGGATATCACAGACGCTTTTGCTTTCCTTTCCGCTGTTAATTCTTCGTTCTTTTCGGACTTATATTTCGCCTTCTTCTCTAATTTTTGCGCCTTTTTCTGTTGCTTCGTCAAAGCGTTTTTCTTACGCGAAAAACTTTCCGTTTTTCGTTCTCCGCTATCCGCCGCACAAGTATCCTGTGTACTATTGTTCTCACTATGTGGTAAAGTCTTATCATCCTTATTTTCGCTAATAGAAGACTTCGCCGTTTCGTCTAAATCAGCTGTCGACTCGTCGTCAATTTCCTCCTCGCTGACTTCCTCGTCGCTGATTTCCTCCTCGCTGCTTCCACTTACGTCAACCCACTCGTCATCATCCTATATTTGAATAGATTTTTATATCATTTTTATATAATTATATAAGATATTATATAATTTGATTATATAAAATTAATATATTATAATAATAATTTTATATTATATAATTTTTATATAATTACACCGGCACACAAAAAAAAAAA